AAAGCGGCTGTGGATGTTAATGATCATCTCTCAACAAACACTCATACTTGAAGGCAAACATTCACACACATGCACTCACTCACTCCCTCTCTCTCTTACACACATGTACACCAGAAGAGAGACTCTTTCACAAGTGTACTGCCAATGTATAGTATGAAATGCCAACCAAACAGTAAGAATATGGCATAAGCCCCTTAAAATGAATCATTTTAGTTACATAAACAGGCCCCTCAGGGATTGAATGAAATTGGATGGGTTTATCTCAGTGTGATATGTGGCTGCCAATACACTGAACTGCGATATCATGATGAGAACAGCCGGGAAAATACTGCATGAAACTGCAGGAATCAGAAATTCACATGCCAAAGTCTCAGCTTTTTAGGAAAGTTTCAAACTACTCCAGTGTCTGTTTACAACATGCTCAGATAAAATGCTTGTGGTTGTCATTGTGCAGTAGCTTTGAAATTTATACTGATTATTTTAATGGATGCAAGATCATGTTTTACTTCAATATAGGTGATAAAACATTTTAGGACTGCTCTGGAAGTATCCAGTCCATATGATTGTCAGTCTAGTTTTTGTTACTTGTTTCAAAGTATGTCCTTAAGTCAGATTATATTTGTCCTTGCCATTTGCTTTGAATGCAATAAATTTGCTTCCCTGTGGACACTAAAGGAGTATTAATATAATGTATATATTGCGTGTGTGTGTGTGTATATATACTTAAATTGAACAGCTAAGGCTAGTTATTATATATTCTTTATATAATATATGAAAAATATATTTATTTAAAAAAATACATTTAAAAAATATATGTGTGTGTGTACTGTGTATACTTAAATTGAACAGCTAAGACTAGTTATATATTTATATAATATATGAAAAATATATTTATATATTTATTTTAAAAAATACATTTAAAAAATGTGTGTGTGTGTGTGTGTGTATATATATATATATATATAAACACACACACACTACCAGTCAAACGTTTTTGAACAGTAAAAATCACTTTTAAAAATAACTTTTTTTTTTATATAAGTTTATCTGCATTTGTTGTTGACCTGCCTGCTCTTACTGTAAGACATTTGTTTGTGGTCATTGTGCATGGTACATTATTTCCTTTTGCATGAACCTTGTACACTTGTGAGGATGTGAGCTTTTAGCACCTCTAGAAGAACCTTGTGTAGGTGGGAAATGCGCAGCATCAAAATAAAAGCACGACCACATTCTCTAAGGGTGGATGTGGAGAGAACATTTAAGAGGCGCCAAAACATACACATCTATGCCAGAATCACTTGTCCGCTCTGGAACTGCTTGATACCGCTGCTGATCTGTCAGGACGCATCCCTCTGGTGTGAGTATGTCTTTCTGCCTGTGCCAAAGTTTGGATACTATAAGGTGTAAGTTCCTCAAATGAGAGTTCCCTTGACACATGAAATTTCTTTGAGTGGATTTGACAGGCATAAAACGATACGCTGTTTCCGTTCAGATCAAATCACAGCAATGGAGGAAACAGATCCGGCGTGACGCGGCTGACACAGAACAGCATACGCTGTTTACAGGGTGTTGTGTTCCGAAGATGAAGGAATGTCTTACGGGTTTGAAACGACATGAGGGTGAGCAATTAATGACAGAATTTTCATTGTTGGGTGAACTATCCCTTTAAAGAAATCCAAAAATGAAAATTCTGTCATCATTTACTCACATTCAAAAGAAGATATTTTGAAGAATGTTGGTAACCAAACTATTACGCCATAGTATGGAAAAATTTCACAATTTGAGTTGAATTACTGAAATAAATGAACTTTTCCATGACATTCTAATTTATTGAGGTGCACCTGTAATTCGATGGCTACTGTCAGCTGTTACCAACATTCTTCAAAATATCTCTTTTTGTGCTCAACAGAAGAAAGAAACTCATAAAGGAGTAAATGATGACAGAATTAGCTTTAATACAACGTACAAAGTTTGTCTTGACACACTTTTCTAGTTTTAACTGACATCTCTTTTTACCACAGATCAAAAACAACAACAGCATGAAGGTGACAAGATGTTTAAAGCTGGTTTCCACCTTCTATAGCTTCCTCACTGTAAGTAAATGTAATTTGGTATATAATGAGTAAGTAGCCCACTAATAGTGAATGAGCACCTCCAAATAAATGATTCACATTTTCTTTCGCTTTCACACATCTGAAGTGTTAAAAACTGTTGATGATACTACACTCACAATGATCCTGTCGCTGGGGGCCCCGATGCTGATCGATGCTCAATCCGCTGATTGCTCAGGGTGGGCTGCATCCTCGCTGATGGGCTTGATTGGCTTTTGTGGTACTTTGAAGAAAAAAAAAAGCTGGATGCTCTTGGTTGAGTGACGTGACATGTGGCCAAGTATGGTGACCCATATTCGGAATTAGTGCTCTGCATTTATCCCATCCAAAGTGCACACACACACTGTGAACACACACCCGGAGCAGTGGGCAGCCATTTTTTGCTGCGGCACCCGGGGAGCAGTTGGGGGTTCGGTGCCTTGCTCAAGGGCACCTCAGTCGTGGTATTGAAGGTGGGAGAGAGCGCTGTACATTCACTCCCCCCACCTACAATCCCTGCCGGTACGAGACTCGAACCCGCAACCTTTGGGTTACGAGTCCGACTCTCTAACCATTAGGCCATGACTTCCCCACTTTGTTAGTGTCAAAAAAGTGCTGAATCTCAAGTACTATTCTCAGATTCCTTGATATAAAAAGCAAAATATACTGCCGGTTTTAATTTGTCTGTTCTGTTTCACTTTCGTTTCAGTTTTTCATCATTGTACTCATCTTCATCCTCCAGCTCATCGCTGCAGTGTTTTTCCTCCACCCAAATTCGGTGGTAAGAACAAAATGAGATCTAATTTTCAAGGATCGCTTGCAAAATGTTATTCATTGTGGAGAACAGACTTAGGGGTTATTGCATCTAAAGTCTTCATATGTATGTATGTGTGTATATATATATATATATATATATATATATATAAACAATTTATGATTTTTTGATGGTTTTGACACTTAAAAATATAAACCATTTAAAAATAAACATTTTTAATGAATGATGTTACCCAGGCGACATGTTTCTTTTACAGATATTCAAACCTTTTATCAAAATATAACCAGTTTCCATCTTTATTAATTAAAATTAATCCGTTTTAAATTATAACAATTTTTAATTATGTTTTTAACATAAAACATTTTTTTATTTTTTTTTTATACTTTTACTCATTTTGATCAAGACAAGAAGACATTAAAATGTCAAATTTTTGTAAAAGGATTCAATTATTAACCAGCAATTAACCCTCAGCCAACCAACCTTGCTTTTCTGGTCACCAGAAAGAAAATTCATTGAGCAGCTTAGAGGTCAAATTCGTTGAAAGTCTTCAGAAGAACTATAAACAAGACTCATCGATCACTGGCATATGGGATGAAACTATGAACAAGGTAAGACTAGCCTTCATGTCAGCTGAGTTCCTTCTAATAAATATTACACTTTTTTTATGAATTTTAGGTGAAATGCTGTGGATACAAAGGCTATGATGACTTCACAAATTCCACTTTCGTAAAGAAGAACTCGTACTATCCCACACAATGCTGCGGTAAAGATTCAAAAACAGATTCAAATTCAAAATGTGTTAGAGAAGAAGCTGTGAAAGAGGTACTGCCTCACTGTGACCAAAAATAAAGCAAAAAGATTATGAATACATATTTTCATGATACATTCATTTCGTTCCTGTTATAGAAAGTGAAGGGCCGCATTCATGTGCTGTTGGACGAAAATGTACCCGTGTCTGGAGCTTTGTCCTTTTTGATCGGCATTCTAGAGGTAATATGTGACCCTTGAAGTACTTTTCTCACTGTAAAAAAATTCCGTAAAATTTATGGTAAAAAACCAGCAGCTGCGGCAGCAACTTGACTTAATTCACTGACATGCATAATCAACAACACGACACCGGAATAAAGAACAGCTGTTCAACTGTAATAACCATGATTAATAAACCTGATAATGAAGTCATAAAACATTTCTGAGAGTAAATCCTGTTGTGAAATCATCAAAAGCTGGAAAACTGAAATAATAGTTTTATTCAATTATATTAACTTCATCACATTTACATTTAATCATTTAGCAGACACTTTTATCCAAAGCAAATAGAAGCAATTCAGACCAATAGAAGGGCAACAGTATACAAGTGCTGTAACAAGTCTCAGTTAGTCTATCAGAGTTCTTTCTGTTCCTATAATAAGAATACAAGCTTCTGCTTTGACATTTGACCAAAACCTTCATTTCTGTTGTAAACTATAGAATATGAAGAATAACTGCATAGCTTTATTTGCTGTATGTTGTTTCTTTTTTATATTGCACTTATGGATCTAAAAGCACCAGAAATCTTACAATGCTGCAATACTGCCCACATGAGGATCATTTCCATCATTGCCGTTTGGATCACTATCAAACCTAATTAGCATCTGAGCACTATTTTTCGTATTCATAAGAACATTGCCTGTGTCATATTTATTCTTTCAATTATTGTTTATATATATTTATATATTATGTGTGTGTGTGTGTGTGTGTTCAAATGAGAATTTTCCACATGTTGCTATTTTATCTAGACATTAACTTTTTCAAGAAACTAGAAAAAAAATAGATCGATTTCAGTGCTGATTATCAATGTTCTGTCACATGATTACTTTATCATACCATTCATTTTCAGAAGAATCTAAAAATACAGTTTAAAAATGTCAAATAATCTTCAGACAAGAGCATCCACACTTTCTGATTGCATGTATTAATATAAAATAATATAACGTGATCATGATGCTCAATGTGGGGAAAAAAAAAATTCCAGGTGTATTTGGTCACTCTTTGACCTTACTTCCTGACCCTGTGACCTCTGACCCTAAACCTACACGCTGACATTGAATTTGAGCATTAGATGGCAGCCACTGCGAATCTGCCAGCATCTGCTTTCTTTCTGAATTCTCTGGGAATATCGAGACTTCATGCGATGGGACAGTCAGTAAAGATACTGCTTCTGCTTTGCTATTGGTCGGTTGTGGTTTTGGGGTCATGACCTTTGCCGGGTCACTGATAGGCTGAAAAGAGAAGAAGTCGGGTACAGAGCAGTTGGTGGCGCTTGAGGAACAGAACTGAGACTTGATTCGGCCCAGAGCAAGAGAAGGACTCCTTCCTGCGGACGCCTGCGCTGTGGGTGGTGGGATTTTGGGCACTAGTGACTCTTTTTCCATCATTTTCTCGTCTTTCTCTTCATCTTTTCCATCTCTCTCAACTTGCTTGTGGAACTCCACATCGGACAGCGGAGGACAGGTGCTGATGAGTGCTCCACAGCTGCAGATGGTGCTCTGAGTGGTGTCCAGCCCGAGTCCAGAAGGCATGGATCCGGCCGTCCCCGCGCTCCTCCCCAGGCTCTTCTCTTCATCGTCCTCCGCGTCGGAGAAGGACGCGTCCGAGCTGACGGAATGCGTCAAACGCTGCAGCTGGGCGGAGGTGCGCCGCAAGGCTCCACCCATAAAGCCTGTGGGAGAGGGGGCGGAGCCCAGGAGCCGGTTAAAGAGGGCGAGGTTGTGATTCCGTGTCACAGATTCCTCCAAGTTTTCAGCAATCTCCTCCAGAGGCTGGAAATGCATGTCCTCTTTGGGGATTCTAGGGATTTGAAATGTCCAAAAAAAAAGGAAGTTATTTATTTATTTTTCACTTCAGCAATCATTTCAGAACATTAACATTGTTTCAAAGAAATACACTACAGATGTTTCGAAAAGAAGGCTCTCACTAAGGCTGCATTTATTTGATCAAAAATATAGTAAAAACAGAAATATTTGTTAAATATTATTATAAATTTAAATAACATTTCTTTTTAAACAGTGACATGATCCTTCAGAAATTATTCTAATATGCTGATTTGCTGCTCAAGAAACATTTATTATAATTATCATCAATAATAATTATGATTATTATTATTGAAACCAGATGTGCTGCTGAATATTTTTGTATACACTTGGATATATTTTTTGTGTAATTTTTTATACATATACATACATACATACATACATACATACATATATATATATATATATATATATATACCCATACATGTATATGACTATAAAGTTCAAAAGAACAGCATTTTTGTTTTTATATTTTTGTAACCATGTAAAAATCTTTAATGTGAATTGTGATCAATTTAATGCATCTTGCTGAATAAAAGTATTCATTTATTTAAAAAAAAAATTATTGGACTATAGTGTAGTTCAGCCAAAAAAAATGTAAATATGTAAATTGCTATACAGTTTTTTTTTCCAAAACATTAATTTTTTTTAATTATTATACATATATACATTATATATATGTATATGTGTGTGTGTGTGTGTGTGTGTGTGAGATTTGAATCTTTCTTGTTTTTTTACAGATTGGCTTGTTTGCAGTTGAGATGAAGTGCACAGTAAACTGTCTGGTCTGAAATGATCAGTGGATTTGTGTTAGGTGAGCACTGACGCCATGTCGAAGGTGGAGCCCTGGAAAGAGGGTTTGCGCAGCACAAAGAGCGTAGCGGCTGTGTACGGCGGACGAGGATTTGAATCATTCCAGTAACGATCTCTCTCCATCATGGGCAAATCTCCATACATCTCATCCACCGCCATCATAGACACCTTTCAAACACACATACAGAGCGAACAGCTCAGTCATATGAACGAACAAGTGTGTGTTTCTTGACAATGAAAGACAATTAGAATATATGATTTGATATACTGTAAATGGCAAATAGCACCTGGAAGTTTCTATCAGTCAACCAGTTGGTCTCAAAGTCATCATCATCCTCTCCAAATGGATTTATGAGCTGCTCTGCCACCTGATAAATAATTACACAATGATACAAACAACACATACAATTTGTCATGGAATGATACATCTGGGTTCTTGTTTTATAGTAACATTTACACTTGTGGGCGGGATCATATATGAAGAGGGAGGGGCATCTAATTAATGTTTAATTTGAAGCAGGGATCCTGATTCCTCACCTTTAACCAGCCAGCATAGAAAAAGAATTGCAGAAGGGTAAAGATGGGGACGTAAAGGTCAAGGTCGTGACCCGGATAACCCTGACTCGGGTCCAGAAACTGACGACCAATCAGACACACCAGGAAGAAACTGTACACCGCCAGAGTCACAACCTGAAATGGACAAGACTATCTGTTCATATTTACCACAAAAACACATTCAGTCTCTCTTGTCTTAAGCATGGATCTGACCTGCGTGTAGACCAACGGTATGCTGATCATGTCATAGTGAAAAAGCATGCTGCACTTCCCTCTGAAATCATTCAGCTCCTAGAAAACAACACAAAAGACAGAAAACAAGAGCAACACTAGACATCAGATCTTTTCAAATGAATTAACTACAGTGTTTTTACTCATAAATAGTCATGTAAAACCTCTAAAAGCCTTTTGTATGTATTTACCTCCAACAGAAGTTTATAAGTATTGTCATCTTTGATTCTGCCCTCACAGCGGGCGACTGCAGCCAGGTTAGTGAACCACACACATGGGATCCAGTACTTATTATAGGGTGAGTGTAAACTCTCAAACTTCTTACGCTCTTCTCTTGTCATAAAACCTGGAAAGAGAGAGACATTTCTCAGTGTCTTCTATGGAAGTCAAAACATTTCTGATTTTATTCCTCACAATTTTATACCTCGTAATTTTGAGTTGTTGGTTTTTTTTCTGAATTGTGAGTTTATAATGCTCAACTCTGATTTAATTTCTTGCGATTCTGAGTTTATATTTAGCATTTACATTATTCTCACAATTCGGACTTTTTCCCCAGAATTAGGAGTTTCTATCGCAGAGTTTACAAAGAGAGAGACATTTCTCAGTGTCTTCTATGGAAGTCAAAACATTTCTGATTTTATTCCTCACAATTTTATACCTCGTAATTTTGAGTTGTTGGTTTTTTTTCTGAATTGTGAGTTTATAATGCTCAACTCTGATTTAATTTCTTGCAATTCTGAGTTTATATTTAGCATTTACATTATTCTCACAATTCGGACTTTTTCCCCAGAATTGGGAGTTTCTATCGCAGAGTTTACATTTCACAATTCTATTTTTTTTCCCTCTGAAATTAAATCTCTTTTAAGGGGCGCCTAATGTCATGGATAAAAAAGATCTGTCTATATCACAAAATGCATGTTTCATTCAAGATTTAAACTTAAAATTGTGGGAATAGTCAAAATTGTATCTTGCATTTCAGATTTTTTTTTTCAGTTATGAGTTGACATATTGCGGTTCTGCCTTTTTTCCTCAGAACTGTGAGTTCATAACACGAACTCAAGATTGTGAGAAACTCAAGTGTTGTTACAAACTCACAATTCTTCGAAAGTCCATTGTGAGATGTAAACTCACAATTCTGAGTAAAAGTCTGAAGTGCGAGAAGTTAACTCAAAATAAAGTCAGAATTGTTTAAACTTGCCATTCTGACTTAACATTTTGAATTCAGATTTTTTTTTTCATGGAATTGCAAGTTTAGAACACAATTATGAGAAAAGAGGTCAGAATTTAAAAAAAATTAACTCAAAATTCTGAGAAAGAAAAAATCAATATGTAAACTTAGAAGGAAAAATCACAAGATATAAACTCAAATTTGTGAGAAATAATTTAGAATTGTGAGATAAGATGCGATTGTCATTTATTATTTATATTCCTTGGCAGAAACGGGCTTCCGTAAGTTTCCATACGTCCATCACAGCTTTCAAATCCTTGTGTATTAACAACAGCTACTTCTGCTATCATTACTAACAATTACACGAGGCGTGACTTAAGAGAAAGTTGCCTTGCCACTTGTTTTAGATGGTTGCTAGGGCATTGTTTGGATGTTTCTGGTTTGTTGCTATGTAGTTGCTAGGCTGTTGCAGTTACTAGTGTGTTGTAAACTCACTGTACCTGCTTCCATGACGTGATCCATCGTAGGGAATCTCTTGAAGACGGCGGTGCTGACGGAGCGCAGGATCAGGAGCGCGGACAGACTGGCGTAGCGCATCAGTGTGCGGCGCAGTAGCCTGCCGTGCTCATCCCCGCCCTGCACACCCCCGGAGAGCGTGCACATGATCCTGTCCGGCAGCGGGATGAAGGTGTACTGACTCCACCAGCGGTTCACTATTAATGTCACGTAAAACCCTGTGTGTAACATAAAACAAAAACATGCTTTCTTGGAAATAATGTCATTGAAATCCTTTTTTTTTTTTTTAAGTGCCCCTATTATGCCATTTCCAATACTGCCTTTCATGCAGTGTGTAATGTAGCTGTATGTGAATGTAAACGATCTGCAAAGTTGTAAAGCTGAAAGTGAACGATAAATAAAGTTATTGTCTCCCCAAATAAAGAATGGACTCTGAACAGCTGAAACAAGTCGTTAGTAATTCGAATCCCACTTCCGTGATGGCTACACGTCACAGGGTAACACATTTGCATAATGCCCGCCTATGTTCTACCTTGGCCATGAGCAACTTGACTCCGCCCACAAACACGTAATTCTACTGACAACTGCTTCTCTAATCTCGGGGAGTTCAAGGCGGGATTCACAAAATGCTTGCTGTTGAAAGATGGATCAGTATCCTGTTTATTTGGACCAGCTGCTACACTGAATCACAACTTGTAAGTATGATTAAAAAAAATAGAGCGTTCAAAATACAGAACTACTGAAATAGGCGTATCGTTTCCGACACGCACTTTATGCGGTAGACCAATCACAACAGACTAGGCCATCTGACCAATCAGAGCAGAGCAGGCTCACAGAAAGGAGGGGTTTAGAGAGACTGAATCTTTGAACTGCTTCCAACGAATCGTTTGAGAATCGCTGGACAAAGAGGTGATATTTAAATGCATATTTTGAGAAAACGAAAGCGTTTTTTGACCTTGCATGCATGTAATCCTATTGTAGGAGACTACAAAAACAATATTAGGAACCGTAAAAATAGCATAATAGGGGCACTTTAACATTTTGTAAAAACTTATTGACATCAAATTACTTATTTATTTGTGGGAAAACAACATGAACAAATAGCATTGATGAATTCTGTTTCGTTTTGTTGTATTAGCCGGTTTGTCTCACTTAAAATAAAATTTTTACACTACCTTTCAAAAGTTTGTGGTCAGTAAGATGTTTTTTGTTTTTAAAAATATGAATACTTTTATTCAGCAGTGATGCCTTAAATTGAGTAAATGTAATGTTTAAATTGTTTAAACAAAACTTTTTTTATTTGAAATGAATGTTGTTCTTTTTAACTTTCTATTCATCAAAGAATTCTGAAAAAAAAACCATGATTTAACACTGAAGACTGGAAGATGCTGAAAATTCAGCTTTGCACCAGAAGAATAAATTATATTTTAAAGTACATTCATATAGAAAATAGTTATTTTGAATGGCACTTTATGCGGTAGACCAATCACAACAGACTAGGCCATCTGACCAATCAGAGCAGAGCAGGCTCACAGAAAGGAGGGGTTTAGAGAGACTGAATCTTTGAACTGCTTCCAACGAATCGTTTGAGAATCGCTGGACAAAGAGGTGATATTTAAATGCATATTTTGAGAAAACGAAAGCGTTTTTTGACCTTGCATGCATGTAATCCTATTGTAGGAGACTACAAAAACAATATTAGGAACCGTAAAAATAGCATAATAGGGGCACTTTAACATTTTGTAAAAACTTATTGACATCAAATTACTTATTTATTTGTGGGAAAACAACATGAACAAATAGCATTGATGAATTCTGTTTCGTTTTGTTGTATTAGCCAGTTTGTCTCACTTAAAATAACATTTTTACACTACCTTTCAAAAGTTTGTGGTCAGTAAGATGTTTTTTGTTTTTAAAAATATGAATACTTTTATTCAGCAGTGATGCCTTAAATTGAGTAAATGTAATGTTTAAATTGTTTAAACAAAACTTTTTTTATTTGAAATGAATGTTGTTCTTTTTAACTTTCTATTCATCAAAGAATTCTGAAAAAAAAAACATCATGATTTAACACTGAAGACTGGAAGATGCTGAAAATTCAGCTTTGCACCAGAAGAATACATTATATTTTAAAGTACATTCATATAGAAAATAGTTATTTTGAATGGTAATAATATTTCACAATATTACAGTTTTTACTGTATTTCTGATCAAATAAATGCTGCCTTGGTGAGCAGAAGAGTGTAAGTTAAAACAAAGCATGTTTATTCAAAAATCAAACAATAAGATACTGTTTGACTGAATCTGATAATCTGAATTTAGTGGTTATGCTGTCCCGGGACGTGCGTACCTAATACGAAGGACATTGGGATGAGACTGGCGTAGTGGTTGCAGTAAATGGAAAGCTTTTCAAAGTATCTCTTCTGATCGTTCACAAGGAAGAATCTGGAATAGAAAATGCAGTAAGTAAAATATAACTCGCAATCAAAGCATCAGATGAGGACAGTGACACAGCCACACACCTGTATGTGATGCTGATTGCCGTGTACATGGCGAAGAAAGCCAGAAACTCTTTGTACAGGACTTTGTAGATGCTTCCCTTCCAGGCCAGCAGCAGTTTGGAGAAGCCGCAGAAGCGCGCATTGGCCACTCTGGCGGTGTAAGTGACGGTCATCACGCACCACTCAAACTCAACGGGTCACAGATTATTGAGAAAAAACAAGCACCGAAGAGAAGATGAATGCAAGTTCAGGATCAATACACAGTAGAGTCAAGTTACATTTTTTATAGGACTTATTTATACATTTTTTAAATAAACTACAAAAACAAAGCAAGCAAGGACAGGGGAAAGAAAAAGACTTTTTGTAATAATGAAAATAATATAATGCTGAACAGATCAGTAGTTCTTTCTCATTCATATGAACAAATTTAAATAAAAGTTTGTCATTTGAGTAATTTTGTTTTCGTTTGTTTGTTTTAATCGTTCTACGAAACTGGTGTCCATCATTAACGTGTGTAAACAATGGCTATATGATAAATGATAAAATTTTTCGTTTTTATTTCTTTTTAATTCTAAATATTATTATTTCTTCTTCATATAAACTGCTGTTTTAGCAAATGTATTAACACTAATATATATGGGTCCCATTTAGGTGACCGCATCAAATGAAACTTACAAAAGTGATTTTATATACACATAAAGGATATTTACTGCATTTACTTTCATTTTTAAATAACTTCTGTTAAAATAAACTTTCAATATATGGGTGAAATAATGCTCCATCGTCATTCAGTGTGACATGTATTTATGTAAAAATGAAACAGCATGCTTATTCTGACCTGTGCTCATTAAAATATGTAAGAAAATATGTGATCATACTAAATTATATTTAGATTTTAAATTATTAAAAACTTCTTGCTGACAAATGGGTCAAACCTAGCGGTTTAAAGGATGGGGGGAAAGACTGGTAAAGATTTAAGAAAGAAATTAATTAGGATTAAAATCAAAATTAATTAGTATTTTGGGGCTGTATTTTGGAGTCTTTTAATGATGTATAATGATTCTTATTATAAATATGCTTGACAAGATTTTTGGTATTTTGGGTATAACTTTAAATAATACATAAAAATGACAAATAATACATAAAATATAAATAATATCTATATAGTTTGGGACGTCTTTTTGAGTTTTTATATATTTGGCGGAGGATGGCATAAAACGAAGTCTAGTGCATATGTGATATCCTGCTGTGGATCTCATGGGACAAGTGCTTTGTCATCTAAAATACAGAGGCAGGTAAATGTGGGCATATACGCATAGTTCCAGAAAAACATGCTGAACTGCCACAGGTGTTTATTTTTCCATGAGATTTCATGTGCTATAAACAATTACGCACAAGAAAAAACTTTTCTGCCATAGTCTGTTATTCAGTTACAATACTGTTCCCTTAGTATTGTATTTGCAATAAATGACTTTATTCAATAAACTTTGTCAACACAATTATTAAATGTAACTACAAGTGTTCTTACCTTTTCTCCCCAGACTCAGAGGAATAAAATATTTCACCAGATGTCCCAGAGGAGGTGCATGTTTCGTCCAGACAGGCATTCATTCATTATGTTCTGCCAGGAGCTTGAGGGTCAAACGCACCTCCTTCATGAGGAGGTGGGACTATCATCTCTGTGTCCTCCTAGACTCATCCAGATCTAAGATAAAGAGCAAATGCCACATACAAACACACTATCTCATCTCTGCAAAAACTCAGCTTACAAAAACGCAACTGTATGTGTGAATGTGCAGAGGAGGGCGGGACGAGTTGTCACGGGGGCTTTGACTTTGACTTAGTAACAATGAAGCTCAATTGCACAAATGTATTTACTCCAGCAGTTTTTTTAAGATAGTGTTGAAAACTGTTTTAAATGTTTCTTAAATTATGCCCTCCAAATTAAAATGTTAATATTAGTGTTTTTTTATTATTATTATTGATTATTATTGATATGGTAACAAGGTTATATTTAAATTAAAGGTAATTTTCCATGTCAAAAGTTCTCATTTTTTATGTTGTAATTTTATACAATTTATTACAACAGACCAAACCAATGTTTGATATTTTTTGCAATGTTTGATATTTGCAGCTTTATTAATTGTTATAGTAATTTTACTATTTGATTAAAAAGCCTCTAAACAGTCTATAAAATATTTTAAATATAGATATGATGTGGAAGATTTTTTATTTATTTATTTTTTTACTTTTTAATTATTTCATGTTTCAAACAAAGTGTTTTTGTGTGTGTGTGTGTGTGTGTGTGTGTGTGTGTGTGTGAATTATGTCCTTAAAAATTAAATGTTCATTCTTTTTTTTTTATTATTATTATTAATTTATTTCTTTGTTACCTCTGGGGTAACAGGTACAATTTTTTTTTTTCTTTTTTCCAAAAGTTGTCTCGTGTTATTTTATACAGGCCAAACCAACGTTTTGATATTTTGTGATTTTTTTTTTTATTGTATTTTTTTGTTATCTTTGTTTCATTAATTGTTATAATTGTTTCACTGTTTAATTTTACAATTTCAGCCTCTAAAATATTTTAAATACGCATTTGTGGAAGCTAACTTTTGCAACTTTATTTTTAATTTTCCAAAGTAAGTACACTCTAAAAAATGCTGGGTTGTTTCAACCCAACTTTGGGTCAAATATGGACTAACCCAACTTTTGGGTTAAAAATGTAATGTAAAAATTGAACCCAACAGTTGGGTTAGTCCATATTTGACCCAAAGTTGGGTTGAAACAACCCAGCATTTTTTAGAGTGTAGCCTATTTTTCTCAAAAACTGACAATATGCAGCACTTTTCTTGTGACGTTGTATGCCAAATGAACGTTTTTCAATGTAAAATTGGAGGAAATGATCAATAACATGTTGTAGCAAAGACAAACTATTTCTCTATAAGCAAAATTAACTTCAAAAATATATCTACTCGATATTCACTACACTGAAAGTGTGACAACTAACCCCGGTCGTCTCCCCCTATATTCTTCGGTGTTGCTACTGCATAAAGACAGCAATTACATAGCGCTCTTTGATGTGGTAAATGTCCATTGCGTTGGCCCAGCGGTGCGTGGAGCGGCCCGGGAGCCGCAGGACAAATCCGTGCAGCGAGGAGAGCCGTGCTCGTTAGTGAAGACTCCCACTGCGCCTCACCGACCTGATGGATGGAGAGCGACAATCAGGCATTTCACACAGGCTCAACCAAACCGCACACTGTCAAGAAGCTAAACACTAATGCAGTAATGCTGAATATAGATTCGCCTTACCATAATGCAGGTCAATGATCCTTCTGAATTTATGTAACACGTTAACAACAACATCACAAATAGGAGCAGATAGTCCGCCTGTTCGCTCTTGTAATCTTCTGAATACCTGTGTCATAAAGGCATTGTTCCGGCGCTGTGGGGGTCTTGTTTGTCCCGGTTAGGGTCACGGATGAAAGGTAGCCTCTGAATCTCTGCAAAATACAGAAAACGTGCCAACGCGTGCCTCTAGACTGAACTCTTGAGGGTTTAGTGCTAAAGGGGCGAACGCTTCACTCCAGAATGAAATACTGACTTACTGAAAAACATCTTAGTGGAAAACATCCTCCAGATTAAACTATTAAAATAAAGGTTCCAAAAGGGCGATTTTGTAGCGATGCAATTGAACCATTTCGGGTCCTCCAAAGAAGCTTTCAGGGAACAGTTCTTAAAAGAACTTTTTTTTTTTTACTTTAAATAACATTTTGTGCTTTGAAAAGGTTTTATGGATATTAAAAGCTCTTTATGGAACAATCAATAAAAACCTTTATTTCTAAGAGAATGATATAGACATTCTTAACGTGGGATTAAAAATAAGGTAAGAGTGTCCAAGCTGCTGTTTTCTATATAATGAAAGTCAAAGACCAGTGGTATGGCTACTACTACTGAAAACCTTTCCTTTTATTCTTAAAGGAAGAAAGAAATTTATATTGGTTTCCAACAGCATGAATTCTCATTTTGAGTAAACTGTTCCTTTAAAACTCTAACAAACGTTTGGGGTCAGGAAGGTTTTTAATTATTAATTTATCTTGAAAGAAATGCATATACTCTATTGAGCAAGAACACACTGAATTGATCAAAAGTGTGATAAAGATATTTAAAATCTTAAATCAGAATCAAGGAATTTGTAAAGGAATAAATAATAATAGTAATGCATCTGGAACAGAAGATTTATGTACAGATTTGTGCAGTATAAATAAAAACATGTATTATATATATATATATATATATATATATATACACACACATACACCTAATGTATTATTTTTCATCAGTTTTTTTAAATAAATATTATTTTAGATTAAAGAGAACAATAACAACGTGTAACAAATGATAAAACTGTTTGCACTACAAACCAGGGTGTTCATAATTAAGATAATATACAGTAGTCAACATTTAAAGTGGATCAAAAAAGTTAATCAAAGTTGTCCTAAGACAAGAACGGATATTGTTTTGGTTTTAGGACAACTTTGATGAACGGTTTTGATCCACTTCAAATGTTGACTACTGTATATATGTATACATAATACATGAGAGAGAGGCAATAACTAGTTAGTAAGAAAATGAATTACAGAAGACAGGTGGTAATCTCTGTGTTAGCCGTTTAGGCTGGAGATGGCATGGGGGAAAAACTGTTTTTATGCCTAGATATTCTAGTGCACAGAGATCTGTGATGATGTTACCTGCCCGTTTCTTTACTCTGGAGTTGTACAGGTCCTGAAGGTTGGGCAGGTGCACACCAATTATCCGTTCAGTTGAACAGTCTTCTTATATCTGATTTGCTGGCTGACCCAAACCAGACAGTTATAGGAGAGCACAGAATGACTCAATAACAGTAAAACTGTGTCATCTGCGCCTCAAACTGTCTGTAAGCAGCCTCGTCTCTATCCTGGATGAGACCGATGACTGTGGTGTCATCTGCAAACTTCAGGAGCTTGACAGCGGGGTCTTTAGTGGTGCAGTCATTTGTGTAGAGGGAGAAGAGCAGTGGGGAGAGCACAAACCCCTGAGGATCTCCAGTGTTGATGGTGTGGGTGTTTGACATGAGTTTTCCCAGCCTCACTAGCTGCTGCCTGTCTGTCAGGAAGCTGGTGATCCACTGACAGATGGAGGGGAGTACAGAGCCGTGTCAGTTTAAGCAGGAGGGTATCCGGGATGATGGTGTTGAAAGCGGAGCTGAAGTCCACAAATGATCCTTGCATAAGTCCCTGGTTTGTACGGATGTTGGAGGATGTAGTGCAGTCCCATGTTGACTGCATCAACCACAGACCTGTTTGCTCGGTAAGCAAACTTCAGGGGATCCAGTAATGTCCTTTAAGTAGGCCAACACCAGTCTCTCAAACGACTTCGTGACCACAGACGTCAGCGCGACAGGTCGGGAGTCATTTAGTCCCTGTATTGATGGAAAACTGTTTTTTCAGCTTTTCTGATCTCCCTATTCAGTGTGTATTTGGCCTGTTTGTACAAGGATCTTTTAAAAAAAATTCTATTTCAAATCAAATTTGCTTCCACAAAAATATTAAACAACTGTTTTCAAAATATTTTTTCTTTAGCAGCAAATCAGCATATTAGAATGATTTCTGGAGGATTACATTTTAAAAATATATTATAATGGAAAAGTCATTTTAAATTTTAACATTTTATAATATTACCATTTTTACTGCATTCAATCTGGGGTCACAAGAGATGACAGTTCAAACAAATGCAGCCTTGTTGAACATAAAGGTCTTCTTTCAAAAACATGTAAAATCTTACCGACTCCAGACTTTTGAACGGTAAAATTCCACTCATTACCATTAACAAGTTCTACTAAACTCAAGATGTTGTTTAGATGTGATGGTAAATATTTTAGCCTTTGTAGACACACAAAATAATTCTATTCACATAAATAACTGAACAGAAACACCTGCTGCAGTAGATGGAGGATAGGGTTTTATTTGCTTTGAAACTTAGTGTGCTTCTACAAAAAGAAGCCAAATTTGGAAAGGCAGTAACAAGATAAAAGAGAACGAAGAATCTTTAGCAAAACTGACTAATAACTGATAAAAGATTCAAATCTTTCGGTCCGATACACTTTCAGGTTTGTGAGTTCTTGTCCCTGGTTTTCATGAACTAAGGAGCCCACTGCTTCATGCTGTGAAATCACAGGATGATAAAAGCAGGAAAACACACTTAACCAGCACGGTATAGTACGGTGTAATAGTTGTCTCAGCTGACAGGTTGCAGTGTTTGTGTGGTGGGTTTAAACGAGCTTCTGATCTCCTTGTAGGGGGTGTGTGTGTTCCTGTGTTTTGATGCATGCAGACATTACTGCCAAATGATAAGAAGAACAGAAGTGAGAGGAAGAACAAGACATCTCTCAAATAAAAAGATCTGAATGGAAATTATCTTAGTCATAACAAGTCTATATAAATACATCACTTTAACTGCAAAAATTAAATTTGATAAATTGAATCACAATGTTTATACACAGTAATTACAGTTTGGTTCACTGCAAATAGAAGTCGATTAAATGCAAGTTTAAAGGGATAGTTCACCTAAAAATGAAAATGTAGCCATTTACTCACCCTTGTTGTTACAAGCTTGTATGCGGTTCATAATTTTTGCATGAAACAAAAAGAGATTTGTGCATTACATTAAAAAACTAGGGTTTGGAATAACATGAGAGAGAGCTAAAAAAAAGACAAAATTCTGGGGGGGGGGACTATCCCTTAAACTGCATCATCTAAATGCACCATCTTCCCAAGTTTGGACCCTCTCAATTAACAACAATACTGACCAGTCCAGGAACCAAAATAAAGTCTATTAATATTGATCAGAACCTGAACTGAACTAGAGACAGACATTTGCACTGATACTACTCCTGTTCAACCACTGAATCAGAGTCCAGGTGTACATTCCTGCACTGAAATCAGTTTGAATCTCCTTTCTTGAATACACATCAGGAATGAGTGTTTCTTATGCTTAAATATATCCTCACAAAGCAACATAAACCATCAAGACGTCTAAACAGGCCTTTTAACTCTCGGCCGACATTCAGAACGGATCACTGGAGCATCATGGCGGCATCAATTATGGCATGACCAGAAAACCAGAGAGAGTAAAGAGAAAGTGAGCGGGGAAATGAAGGTGTGTGTGGAGATGTGAAGACCAGAGGGATGCGATGGTGTGTGTTTGTTCCGTGGAAATCATTTAAGTCACTTCTTGGGCGGGCTGTAGGGCTCCAGCAGCTGCTTGGAGAAAGTATTGACCTTGTCCACTCCTCGAACCTCGTGAGGCAGCAGAGGCAACTTTACTATGTGGAAATCTTCATATAAATCCTCCATCTGAGAGAGAAAGAGAGGGGAAGAACATGAAAAGAGAGAGGAGGGAAGGGAAAAGACAAGAAAAAAAATGAAAAGAAGGGGAAAACAACAAGGATAAAGACAACAAAAAAGAAGGGGAAAGGAAAAAAGGAAATGCAAAGAAAGAAGGTAAAGGAAGAGAAAAAAATCAGAGGGATTAAGTATTATGGAGAAACAAAGGAAAATGAAATGGGGAAGGAAAAAGCAAAAACAAATGGGAAGAGAAAAAGTAAACAGTAGGAAGAAAAATTAAGAGACAGAAAAAAGGGAAGAAGAAAACAAATATTGAGGAAAAACAAAGGAAAGTGAAAAGAAGTGGGGAAGGAAAGGGAAAGTAATGAAAAAGTACAACGAAAAAAAGAAGAGGAGGAGAAAAAAGTGGAAAGAAAAGGAAACAAAGAATAGAGAACAAGATAAGTAAGGTAAAGTAGGGAGCGATGCACACGCAGATAAACGTCGTCTGCTCCTGTATGCCAAGCAGGAAACAACATTTAGCAATCAACATTTTTTCATCTTTCTGATCAGGCATTAACGGGGACCACTGAGGCGTGACACTCACCGGGTCCTTAAACTGCTCGCTGACTGAGCGGATGACGGGGAGCGTCTCCTCCAGTTTAGATGCCAGCTGATCTGCATTCATGTCTCCCAGGCCCAACATGTTACACATCTGCAATGGTTTGCCAGAACTACACTTAAACCTAATATTTAACTCAGTTTAATTGTAGGTGGAATAGAGGTCAAATAGTTTTTTTTTTAATTAACCTTCATACTTTTTCTATAAACTTTCATATATTTCTCTACAGTACACTAGTATATTGCACTATTGTCCAGTGCTATTGTACAAACACTATAATTCCCAGAATGCAGTGCTGATACCTGTGAGATGAAGGGGCTGATCTGGTTCTTGATCTGCATGAGGCGGCCCATTCCAAAACCTAAAAAAAAAAAAAAAGAAGAAAAAAAAAAAAAAAGAGAGACATGGGAATGGGATAAATTCAGAAATGATTTTATTACTAATATAATAAAATAATAAATAAATGTTATATTAATTATATATTTTTATTTATATTATATATTGTTGACATCGGTGGTCAAATGTTTGAAATAATTAAGATTTATAATATTTTTGAAAGAAATCTCTTATGCTCGCCAAGGCTTTGATTTCACAGGAATAAATTATATTTTACAATCGATTCAAATATTAAACAGTTATTTTAAATAAAAACAATCTCACAATACTACAATTTTTGATCAAATAAATGCAGCTTTGATGAGCATAAGAGACTTATTTCCTTAAAAAATAATTATTTCAGTGCCTGTGTGTGTATACACACACACACACATATATATATATTTTTTTTTTAAATGCTTCAAAATGACTGTATTGATGTGCTGTATGAACAGTGATTGTTGGTGGTTCGCCATCTAGATGTGGAACAGTGTTATTGCATTAAAAGGTCAAGATAATATCAGTTTAATACTGTAGAACTATTTTTTTTTATTCAGTTATGTAATTCACAGTACTTCATTCCCTTACGAAAAACAACAAGTGCACACTTTTACCTTTGTCTCTTTAGATTTTCAAATACCGTTTTGCTTTGAAGGAAAGTTTGTAATGCTGCAATTCATTTTGGAGCCCTTTTGTTTCATTCTTAGCTTGCAACAGTGTTTGAAATGCTAATGAAGGCTGAAACCTCATCTAAACACCCCCATGACAAGAGCTTTACAAAACGATGCAGTTTAGAAAGAACTATTGCATTGTGAGACTATTACAGTGCAATATGTTCAATGCAGGAAGCTGTCCGAGTCTGACCTCATGACCTCTGCGTAGCTCATGGCCTCGTCGATGCCGGGAAAAGCGCTCATGGCTTCCTGCATCATCTTCTTCCCCATACTGAGCACGTTGTCCTCCTCGAAGAACTCATCGGGCAGCTCCGCCACACCCAGACTGGGGTCGATCTCCTACAGACAGACACGACGATGGAGAACAGTCTTATCTCATGTCTTTCATCTAATCGAGGTTATAATAAGCCAAATTAAACACTGGTATATTGAACTAAATCTCAAAGAATAGTAACCATTAAACCAGATAATAATACTTTGTGTGTCCTAGTTTCATCATTCCCTTTCTTTCTTTTTTTTGCATATCTTCTTGGTCACTTCTTGGTTTCTGACAAGAACAGCACAAGTTCCTGAAGTGACTCACACACAGTCTAAGCAAGTGCCACATGTTTCAATTTTAAATTGACACAGAGATTTATGACATGCAGAGCTGGGTGAAATACTGAATATTATCACAACCTATTTACAATTACTTCATTGACTAGATAGTTATAGATTTGGTATAAATAAGCTAAAAGATGCAGTCTAATAGATCTGCTTTTATGGTTGTGTACATGGATTGAGTAGGTCATGTTGGTGAACGTCATGGCATTGTTTTTAGTGTACACAACACATCTAGTGAAAACAGTGTGTGCCGTTGATAACGTACCATGGCAAAGAGGTTGTCGTATCCCTTGACTTTGGTGGGCACTTTGGAGAACTTCTGATCAAAGGCATCTGAGATGTTGTGTGCTGGATCTGTGGATATGATGAGGACGCTCTCTCGCACCGCTGCTAACTGAACCGCCAGACTGCAGCTGCAACACAACAAGACAAAAAATAAATAAATAAATAACTTAATAAATAACACAGTCTAGATAGAATCATTTACATCCAGAGAAGAAATCAGCAATCAAACAGCATTTGTGAATGACATTATCTTATGATCAAGACAAACCTTGAATATCGGCAGATTTTTTTATTTATTTATTTTTTAGTTAAAACAGTATGCTTTCTTTATTAAGCAAACACAAAAATGACAAATGAACTTAAATCACAAATGGTCAATCAGTTCATGTAAGAACAATCTTAACTGCAAGAACAGTAAAAAAAAAACACCTCTTGCAGTAAAAATCACATTATTACGATTGAATAGCAACGTGGCTGTATATATAACAGAGGTTTTATGACAGAAATGTAAATACGAGCTGCTTAGATTATTAATATCACCCGCTTTCATGAAATATATTTCTGTAATATTTTAATAAATGATTAATGCATTATCAATTATTATTATTCACAAGAAAAGGGCTTTTAAGAACTACCCACACGTTGGTATTTTTATGAAATATCATAAACTACCATTTCGACTCGTAAGGTTTGCTGGCAGATTATATTTAGAGAACTGTTTTAACATTTGTTCGTTTTTAAACATACATTTGAAGAGACACGCTGTTGAGTTTCAACGTGTTTTTAACCTTTGTTTTATACAGCAAATATGTAAGAATGACTAATCTGTGTTGTGTTGCTAAAGCAGCACTGACAGCTAACAGCCTCTCAGCTGTAAAACCCCGATGTTCATTCACTCACCTGCACGTTGTCTTGCCCACGCCACCTTTACCACCGACAAATATCCATTTGAGTGATTTCTGCTCTATAATATTCTTTAATGTCGGCTCTAAAGGCTCTACATCAGGCGCATCTTCAAACTCGTCTTCCACTGAAGCTGCCATCTTGCGCTCAATACACCAGAACGGCAGCTGCACGCTCCGCCATTTTGGCTCCGCAACAGCAGAAACACCACACTTGAATGGACAGAAATTAGATCCAAAATGGCCCGTGTGGGGTGGCCAGTTGCGAACGGAAGTTGGTTACGCTGATGACTCAGCCAGACTGTACCGACTACTTTCATTGAGAGAGAATATTCCATAAGTGATTATTTACATTTTATTTCTCATTAGTTGGAAGTGTAAATACACTGCTATTAATAATAATATCACATCTGTGTATTTGGAAGACAGAATCACACAAAACTTGTAAATATGGAAGAATTTGGCAATCTTTATTATATTATAATACTATTCTTGTGCCATTATTGCACATAAACAAAACACATCATTTTAATAGCATGTCTGCTAATGTTTTTGTTCTATGGCACCAAGCAACTCTTTTTTTTTTTTTTTAAATGAATTTTATTTTATTTTGAAACAAAATATAATGTTGTGATGATTGTACTTCACAGAATTATTACATTTATTTTTACATTTGTGTTGTGCTAGAGCTACATTTAAATTCTGAATCATCGATAGAAAATTAAGTAATTCATCCAATATGATATCTAAGAGCAACAACAGGTTGATTTTGAGATTTTCAGACGCTGTTCTTGGTATTCAATCACAATTTAAGTCACAATGATTCAGTACAGAGATACAGAGGAAAGCTTGAGCAGGATGAACTATTTTATGAATATAATTTCAGGCTGAACATGGGGCTCCTAACACAGTTCAGTCCGATTAACATCATTAATCCAGCACAATAACTGAGCAAACAAAACAAAGGTGAAAATCTTCCTTTTGCACAAGCAGTTCAGTGACATATGTTCAGCTAACATACAGAAAAGACTCAAAGACATTACGAACAGTTTCAAAACTGACTGAAGCATGTGCTCCTTTTTTAATTTCATATTTTTTCTAAGTTAAAAAAAAAAGTTTGCATTGATCAGGAAAACAACAAGGAATAACTTTAAAGCTTCCACTGTAAATGATGACTTTCAGTCGGCAACATTTGAAAGGTGCACAAAGTTTGGTGATTGTATCATTATCACTCTCTTGACAAATAAAGAAAGAAAACTCAAGAGTCTACCACTAAACCACTAGACGGGAGAAAATGATAGAAAAAGTATGTAAAACTACCACCTCAAACACCAGTTAGTGCATCACGAGATTGCAAGTAAAACATTAGCACGGCACATGTTTTCTCGTAAATTAGGTTCTCAGCATTCCAATTGCGAGCCATAAAAGGCACATTCACAGCCTGCAGAAATGAAACTCCGCCCACTGGACTCGTCAAATTCAGAAAGGGACAATCTCATTGGAGGAAGTTTGGCGATGGGCGGGTTTCATATCCAATCAGAAGGACATGAGTCCCTCTTGCATATATTGCACATTTCATGAATTTGGTTAGAACAAAAAGGAAAACAAGTATATAATGAATTAATTTAACCCTAATTTAAATTGGCCTTTGAAACACTCTGTCTTCATTAGAGATGCTTCAGTGGTTTTTCCACCTTGCCAAACTTCACGTCTACATCAATTACATGTATAGGTGTTCAAAAAGTGCTTTGACATGCAAGTGAGAGGTTTTAAACATCCTTCGGGGGCCTTTTAAGTTTAACACTGGAAATTTGTACAGTCTCTGAACACACACACAGACACAGTAACGCCACCTTCACTTGTTCAATCTACTGTCCCGAGCGTTTCGGGGTTCTTGGCAGATTAATTGGCACATCTCTCGGTATGCGCAGGCACTCTCAGTTCGTCTCGTAGGAAGACAGCAGCGCAGCGTCGACGGGCTCCATACAGGAAGGGCAAATGAAGGAGCGCATGAGCCAGGCGTCAATGCAGTCCACGTGATAGATGTGCATGCAGGGCAGGAACCGGATCGGGTCGCCGTACTCAAAGTCCATCATGCAGATCACACACCTGTGGGCAGATGGCAAACATTTTTACATGCAACCAACTAATTAGAAAGTGGTTTCTGGATATCACGCACTCTTTGATCTTCTTGTCGGACGGCTCTGAGCCCGGGTCGAAGATCCCACGGGGCAGGTGTTGGATGAGCCCGATGCGCTGAGCGATACGGACCTGCTCCTCCTCCGTCAGCTGAGTGGCCAGCCGCGTCTGACTGGGCGTGGGATGGTACACTGGCACCTGCACCCGCTCCTGGGGTCACGAGAGCGTTTGATCGCACATAATTAATATAACCCACATGTGGTTAGGGGACACAGGACAGCTTATTAGAAACAGGAGAAATAGATCGGGACATTCTTTGACTGCACACTCTTAAAAAATAAAGGTTCTTTAATCTTTATTGGCATCAATGGTTCCATGAAAAACCATCTTCATGGAATCTTTCAATTTTACAAAAGGATCTTTAAAATGAAAAAGGTTCCTTAGATTAAAATCACACTAAGATAAAATGGTTCTTTTAAGAATTGTTCACTGAAAGGTTCTTCGGGGAACCAAAAATGGTTCTTCTATAGCATCATGGTGAAAACCCTCGTTTGGAACCTTTATTTTTAAGAGTATGTAGTTTAACAAAATAAAGGAAATAACAAAAAATTATTTGTTTAAGGATCAATTCTCACTACTAACTAGTTGCTTATTAGCATGCATATTACTAGCATATTGGCTGTTTATTAGTACTTATAAAACACATCTTAATGCTTTATTCTTCACAACCATATTTTAGATCCCTTAATAAACAGCAAACTAGGAGTTTGTTCAGGAAAAACCCTAAGTGTTCCCTATTTTAAAGTGTTACCAATTATTCACTGATTTTATCCTGTTTTTGCAGCCATTAGTAGATATATCCATTTCGTATGTGATGAATATACTTTCTGCAACACAACAGTTGAAGATCAATGTTTTTTTTATTGATTTTTTTGAAGATTAATTTTTTAATAGCTTTTTCTCTCTCATTTTAGCTTGGAAATGGCAGTGAAAAAAAAATAATTTCTTTAAATTTAGAACCTAATAATAATATGTTTACTTAATTTACAAAACCCAAACTTTTCCTAAAGATAAAATTACACCATTAACCTTTTCATTGTTTTAGTAAAGTTTTGCATTCACAAGTCCAGAATAACTTATACATGTAACACTGATCTTATGATGACTAATGTTCTTTCAAACATGAGAACACAAAACAAGATATTTTTGAATGCAATAAAATTCATAAAACACAAATATATATATATATATATATACATATATATATGTTCCTCTGTATCATTACGGTTGTTTTTTGTTCTTTATATCACATTCTCTGAACTGTTACATAATGCATTATACTTTTTTTATTCTGTATTCAAAACTAATAATAATATGTTTACTTAATTTACAAAACTCAAACTTTTCCTAAAGATAAAATTACACCATTAACCTTTTCATTATTTTAGTAAAGTTTTCCATTCACAAGTCCAGAATAACTTATACATGTAACACTGATCTTATGATGACTAATGTTCTTTCAAACATGAGAACACAAAACAAGATATTTTTGAATGCAATAAAATTCATAAAACACAAATATATATATATATATATATACATATATATATGTTCCTCTGTATCATTACGGTTGTTTTTTGTTCTTTATATCACATTCTAACAAAGAGTGAAAAATTTAAGGGGGTCTGAATACTTTCCGTACCCACTGTATATATATATATATATATGTTCCTCTGTATCATTACGGTTGTTTTTTGTTCTTTATATCACATTCTCTGAACTGTTACATAATGCATTATACTTTTTTTATTCTGTATTCAAAAACAAATAGAAGAAACTATGTTATTATGTTGCAATTTTATTTTTGCAAAGACATTAAGTACAGATTTGTTGCAATTTAAGGAAGCATTCCTTTAAAATGTATGGCAGGTTTTCAAAAATATGATCTGGCCATCATCTTATATTTACAACCTAGAATGCCATCGTAGTACCTAAGCACCATGTTCAAAACAACCATGGCACACATTTTCCCAGTCAGCGATCACAATCAATACAATCTACCAAAAATGCATATCAATGACAAACTGCATTTCTCAAAACCTGCATACAGCGAGCTTTTCCTCTTCCTTTTTAGATCAAGATCACATAGTGACATAGCTATTGCTATTACTACTACAACATACAGTATACTGCACAATCCGAGCTCGTCTGTAGTCTAAGACAGTGTTTCCCAACCTTTTTTTAGTCGCTGCACCCTTTGGAAATTTTAACAAACGTGTGGCACCCTACAAAATTAATTTTGTCACAATATTTGAATTTCTAACTTCGATATGATAATTTGAAAAGTATAGATATTTGGTACAACAGGGAAGAACTGCAGACACACCAATTTCAGGTCTTGGAGTCTCTACTAATGAGCTGATGATCTGAATCAGGTGTGTTTGATTAAGGAGACGTGCAAAACATGCAGTGTTGGGGTGCCTCCAGGACCAGGGTTGGGAACCACTGGTCTAGACTGTGCTGTGAGCAGCAGAACGACTGTCGGACAGCACTGCGGTCTTGTATGTGGTACCTGGTAGGGTGGCGGAGGCTCTCCTGGCAGACTCGCCCCCTCGGACTCGTTGAGCAGGGACAGATCATCAGCGCCTTGAGAAGACAGACAGTTCCCCATCGAGCTGACCCTGCACGACACGACACGACAAACCCGCCAAAATCACGTCTAGGTGGCGTTTAAAAGACTCGCCAGGTTCCGTTGTGTTTAGGGATCGTCCTTTCTGCAGCCCGTTGTGTCTGATGTCTGTCTAGTATGTAGAAAAACAAACGCCTCGCCAGGCAGCGATCCGATTTTCACACACACACAAAAGATGTTTTAAAAAGCGGGAATCCTTGAAAACCTATACGTCCCGGTTGGTTTAATCCTCACGGGTGTGCACGGCATGCATGACATATATTATGCACTTATTATGGCCTTTACAGGGCAATATTTTTAGGTAAGACCTCTTGACGACTCCATATCTCCTTTCATTGTTTACAAACTCTTGGACCGGAAGTGGGTTGATCTGTGGATTGTGGTTATTGTAGTTTTTGTACTGAAAGCTGACGCAAACGTTGAAACAACGCATTTTAGGAAACCCATTTCTCTTTTGTATTTCTAACACGATTCATTTAATCACATTGTAATTTAATACGCAATTTCGATGTAACTTGATGTTTTATATACTTTGAATCAAAAATATAGTTAATATATTTGATATAATTAATTTTCATGGTGAATCTTATTATTTTATTTGGTAAATCTCACATACACAAAACCAAAAGCAGTAATTCTAAATCATGTTTTAAGGTAATTATGGTTGAATTTTAGTTTTTAGTGTATTGATAAAAAGATAGGCCTATACAACCATATTTGCAAAAGAGTTAATTGAATAATAGATCACTGAAAAATAAATCTTTTAACTTTATTTTATCTTTTTAATTAATTGATTAATATATTTAATAAACCTTCTGTATTAGAATGTTATTCTTTATTTCGATATTTTTTTTAAATGTGAATTATTTGTGTTGCATTTAGATGGATAGATAATAAATAAATAAATGAGTGCTGTCAGTCGATAAAAAAATTAAATATACTTTTATATTGCAATCATTTCACATTCAATCTTCAAATTAATGTAGAAACAACAAAAAGACAGTATCTTTTTTAATATTTGTTTAATGTCATCTTTTTTATGACTGAAGGCAAGAATCACTGATACCAGTACTACTGATGTCTCTATGAAATTGTTTTTTTCTCCTAATATTTAACCATTGACTATAGCCATTCAAAATTACAGTATAATTGAGAGCTATACATTTCAACAATTACTAGACCTTAAAAATAACTTCTAATTTAAGTGAACTTAAAACAATCTTCACATAAACCCATTATAATAAATGTCATATTTATTAGTAGGAAATAGACAGAAATATAATAAAGTTATCAAACACTAAATTCTAAATTAAATATGAATCCTTAAATCTACAAAAGTTATTGATTTCCTCTTTTTTTTCTTTTGTTCTTGATTAAAATTATTCACAGCAGCTGGGTTATTAGGTTATTTTGGAAATTGGAGCTTTGTCTTTTTATCCATGTCCATGTTATCATTTTTATGATGTAAAAAAGGACAGAATTTTCGGGTTCCCGCATTATTCCAAAACACGAATTCAAACTGTCGTTCCCCATCAGATCATTTATCAGTATACACAGTAGAGATGATGGCAATAGCAACAGCACTACAGTGGATAGAGGAGACTCAAATCAAAAAGGGGGGATAAAGGGTAATGAAAAGGTTGATGGATTAGCAAAACAGGCATTGGAAAACGAGGATATCATGAATATCTCACTTAGTAAATATGAAGCAAAAGCAGTAATTAAAGCATATACCACTAAGGAGTGGCAACATAAATGGGATACAGGAAATACAGGACGTCAACTTTATGAAATACAGCGAGAAGTAGGAGTCGTGAGAATAACTAAAAGAAGCACCAAAGAGGAAAATATTCTAACAAGATTAAGGGTTGGGCATACTATGCTGAATAAAACCTTAAAAATAATAAATAAACATCCAACAGGATTATGTGAGCACTGTGGAATGGAGGAATCAGTAGAACATGTTATTTGTGTTTGTCAAAAGTATACTAATGAACGAGAAACAATGAAGAATGAACTTAGAAAGATGGGAGTGGATAACCTAAAGCTTAAAAATATATTTACTTATGGACTAGAAAGTTTATTTTTGTATCTTAAGAGAACAGAGCTGATTAAGAGAATTTAGTGGGGAAAATCTTCTTGAGGTAAAGAAGTAAACATTTTTTAATTTTATTTAGTAAATTTTTTTTGTCCTCTTATTATGAAAGGGTAAACGCTGGTTCACACTCCAATACAGTAGGTGGCGATAATGCACCTTAACATTGGTGCTACCCGCCATAAAACCGAAGAAGAAGAAGAAGAAGAAGAAGAAACTGTCGTTCCCCTCATTTCCGAAGGATGGCGGTGTGTCAGAACTCCTTCCACTCCTCCGCCACCACCGAAGAAAATGACGCAGCGCACCTGACAGGCGCGTGTTTAGCCTGCTAGCTAGAGAACTACATCTCTAAACGCTTAAAACCGGTCCCTCGCTTTCAAAGTCTAAACATTTCCTTTGGATATAAAAGTGCTCAAAGCTCCCGAATCAAGAAGAAAGGAGAAGACAAAGTCAGAGCAGCCATGCAGATCACACTGAAGACTTTGCAGCAGCAGACCATTCAAATAGACATCGACGATGACCAGACAGTATTTACGCGCTTTCTTACGCTTATTTCAATACGTTAACTACAAGTAGAAGTAACATTACTCTGAGTGTATAACTATTTACGACAGCAGCGTATTTCGAGTGATTTAAGTGGCGTTTATGAGTCATTGGGCGTGTCAGGCGATAGATTGATATATAGTTTAATAGATCAATGTTGTCTGTAGGTAACAAATAGATGCATGTATAGTGTAACGTTAGGATAAATAGATGCAACTTAAAGTTAGTTTGTCAGGTTTGTGTAGTATAGAATAATTTAGAGTTACAGTCAGATTATATTTAAAGATTATAACATCATTGTTATAACAAGACAGGCTTGAAATAGCGGTCAGAGCATGTCTGGGTGATTCAAAATCCATGTGTTATTTTCTTTTGATGATGTAAATGTATGGTTTTGACTCAGGTGAAGGCATTGAAAGAGAAAATTGAGGCTGAGAAGGGCCGAGAAAGTTTTCCGGTAGCGGGACAGAAGCTGATCTACGCTGGGAAAATCCTGCAGGATGATACGCCCATCAAGGAGTACAACATCGACGAGAAGAACTTTGTGGTGGTGATGGTGTCAAAGGTCAGAGTTTGGAGATTTAACCACTGGCCGTCTGAAATAAAAGGAAGATCACAAGATTAGACCAAATTTTTTCGTTGTGTTTTTTTCCCCTGTCCAGACAAAAGCAGCAGGACCGGCCGCTCCACCCTCAGAACCAGCCAAATCTGTCGCTACACCTTCCTCTTCCTCCTCTCCTCCTCCTCCTCCTGCTCCGTTCCCTGCAGCCATCCCCATCGACGAGTGTTTAGATGACCCTCCTGCAACCATCTCGCCTGCGCAGAGCCCTGACGGGTGAGACTCGAGCAGGATTCCTTTCAGAAATCAATCTGGCAAAAAATGAATTTTAAACAAAAATATATTTTTTTCATTTTTATATACACTGCTTAACATGATTTAAAATGACCCTCAATACTAAAAGTTTGTCACAGAGCTTTTGTACTGTACAAACAGTGCCGACTGCTGCTATAAATAAATCATTAATCATGTTTGTTTTTGCAGTGGCACAGGTCTCAGGGCTGATGGGGAAGATGCGTCTTCAACATTAGGTAATGAAAAAATCGTGCTGAGAGTCTTGATAGTTAATTTGCAGTAAATGTGTAAAGCAGCATTCATTAAGCAATGTAGAGTTGGTTTTTGTCTCTCAGACGTTCATGCACATGTGTTCTGCAGTCACAGGTCAGGAGTATGACGCCATGCTCACCAATATCATGTCTATGGGCTATGAGAGAGATAAAGTGGTGGCTGCACTCAAGGCCAGTTATAACAACCCTCACCGCGCTGTGGAGTATCTGCTCAATGTGAGTGTGGTTGTCATACAAACTCATGCTCTTTCTTTCCAAATGCATTTATAATGCCAGTCACACTTGCTCATTTTTTATCATTATTCTTGTGTATTTTTTTAAGAGCACTCCATGCATGTCTGTGAGTCTGATGTAGTGTTGTGTCCTGTCTTAGGGGATCCCTACTGTCCCAGTGCAGGAAACCAGACCTGCTTCAGCTCAGCTCCCCACAGACACACAGCCTGCAAAAGGTGAGATGGTGCTTGAAATAAATGTGATTTTAAACAATCTACATTACCATTCAAAAGTTTGGAGTTGGAAAGAAGTCTCTTCTGTTCACCAAGGCTACATTTATTTGATTAGAAATACAGTAAACCGTAATATTGAAAAATATTATTACAATTTAAAATAACTGTTTTCTGAATATATTTTAAAGTGTAATTTATTCCTGTGATGCAAACTGAAGTTTCAGCATCATTACTCCAGTCTTCAGTGTCACACGATCCTTCAGAAATCATTCTAATATGCTGATTTGCTGCTCCAGAAACATTTTTGATTATTATCAGTGTTGAAAACATTTCTGCTGCTTAATATTTTTGTTAAAACTATAATACTTTTTTTCTTAGGATTATTTAATGGACTAGCAAGTTTAAAAAATGGCATTCATTTAAAAGTTTTTTTTTCTAACATAGATGTCAGTACTGTCACTTTTGATCAATTTATACATCCTTACTGAATAAAAATATTAATTTCTTAAAAAATCTTACTAACCCCAAACTTTTGAACGGTGGTGTATATTTTCAATCAAAAACAATTTTAAAAAGTCATATTTGCACATATTAGCACAAAAAGAATATTGAATAATTTGTATGCAACAATGTTTTTTCACAAACATTCTAATAGAAAAAAAAAATCTATGCTGAAACTTTTTTTTAAACAATTTTTGGTGCAAATCATACATTTGAATCGGAGTTGAAAATGATTCATTGATGGAAAGAAATCAAACTGACAAACTTTAATGCCATTTTTACTATTTTAATTTAATCTCTTGCTTGTTTACAGCCGATCTACTTTTAATAGGCATTTAATGATTTTAGTAAAATAAAACGCATTCAAATCATTGGAATATTATCATTAGAAAATATATTGACTGTATTCAATATACTGCCATACCTACCATAAAGACAGACTGGTGAGTTGACGGAGCGTTTGTTGTTGTGTTAGGTGAGAATCCGCTGGAGTTCCTGCGCTCTCAGCCGCAGTTCCAGAGCATGAGGCAGGTGATCCAGCAGAACCCGTCCTTACTGCCGGCCCTCCTGCAGCAGCTGGGACAGGACAACCCCGAACTACTGCAGGTGATCACACATCTCAAGCTCAAAGCCTCACAGAGT